CGAAGCTAAGCGAAGTCTGGTTATTTAGGCGCGAAAGCAAATAATATATTGTATATTTCATTCCCCTCCTCTTGGCATCCTGTACACAGTCCAATCATAAAACTCCCAAATGTCAGGTGTGAGATAACTTTGAAAGGCATCACCAGGATAGAATGCTGCTCCGTTGGCCTTGGCGGGAAACCTTCTCCTCCACATGCGCAGTAAGGTGGACAGTTCAAAATCCAGAATCTTCCTCCAGCACAACAATGAATCCCATCCCAAATACCATGCCCCCCCTCCCCGTTTCAATGGCAGCCGAAGCAGCAGCAAAGCAGGGACTGACAATTGTTTTCTTTCAAAGGCTCAAGAAAGTGACTGGCTGAAGGTCACTTAGTTGGTTGTGCCTTAAAATGAAGCTATAACTCATGGTCTTCCAATTTCTAATCTAGTTCCTTAACTACTGTATCAAATTGGGTCTTCTTTAGGGCTTTCTGTCCATTAGAAAAATAATATAAATAGACTTCTGAATCAGCCAATCTTCAATATGTGTTTGACAATCTTTATATCTAGTACAACAATAACAATTTAAAATAAAGCAATCAAATGGACAATCATAAAATAGAGACAAAATGATTAGGATTAATAATTAATCCAAAAAGAAAGGACAATAAGTGAAGAAAGTCTGATCTCTAGCAGATATTCTACTAGTCCTTGTTATCGGGCATTCTGTCTGGGACTGATGAAATCTAAGGTTGAAATATATGAGGGGAAATTTATTCTACCCATTACATTTGGAAGGTGATTTTACTTCTCAATAACTGTATCGAATGTATTTATTTTTCCCAAATATTGTATGTATAAAAATTATGTTGGATGGCATTATATATTTTCAACATTGTTACTTAAAGGATGCAAGAAAGAGCTAAGAGACAATAACTTAAAGCAATAATTTGTGAACTTTCTTGACAAACTTGTTTTAAATGCTGGACTTAAGATAGGTCATGTTTTATCACGATAAAATAGGTCATGATATTTTATCAAGACACAATAAGTGGGTGCTCTTATCAACAACTGCTTAATTATTCAGTTGTAAACTTTTAACAGTAAACAAATCACTTTTCACAAACTCACCACTCAACCATATATGGATACTTCTCTTCCACGGTAAGATTAGGATCAATTTCAATAGCATAATATATTTCTTTTAGATGGAATAACTAGAAAGAAAAACAGTTAGTTGCTATTTATTTCTGTAATATCCCATTTTTGTTCTAACTGCATAAACTAAACACAAAGAAGAGGGAGTCAAGCTCTTCTCCAAAGCACCTGAGGGCAGGACAAGAAGCAATGAATGGAAACTAATCAAAGCGAAACAACATAGAACTAAGAAGACATTTCCTGACAGATAGAACAATTACTAATCAGTGGAACAATTTGCATCTAGAAGTTGTGAATGCTGCAACATTGGAAGTTTTAAAGAAGAGATTGGACAACCATTTGTCTGAAATATTATAGGGTTTCCTACCTGAGCAAGGGGTTTGAATAGAAGACCTCCAAGGACCTTCTAATTCTGTTATTCTGTTCTGTTCTGTTGTACTCTATTCTGCTTCCTTAGTTTTGATATATCCCTAGTATCTTAAATAAGTACATTATATACAATATTAACTTAAGACATGTATAAACATACAAAGGAATATACACACAAAAATCAGAAAGTGGTCTTAATACAGAAGTATACTTAACGCAGGGAATCCTTTGCTTATAGTGGCTATTGGGATTGGAATTTCTATTATTAAGTAATGGCTACTGAAAAAGTGGACTAAATTGAGGATTTACTGTAGGGTTTTTACAGTGAATCATCTGGATGATCCTTAGAACTGAGGTTATACGTGTAAGTANTGTCAGGTGTGAGATAACTTCGAAAGGCATCACCAGGATGGAATGCTAGTCCGTTGGCCTTGGTGGGAAACACTCCTTCTCCACATGCGCAGTAAGGTGGACAGTTCAAAATCTAGAATCTTCTTCCAGCACAACAAAGAGTCCCCTCCCAAATACCATGCCCCCCCCTCCCCGTTTCAATGGCAGCCGAAGCAGCAGCAAAGCGGAGGCTGACAGCAGGATTCATATTATATGGGAGTAGCATAGGAGAATCTTTTCATGTAAATGTCTATGGAGATTCTCAGTCATCCAAGTCATGGTTGTCCCAAAGGTGTTTTTTTCAAGAGGCAACTGGACTTTCTGTTTTTTCTTTGAAGATGTTTTGCTTCTCATCCAAGAAGCTTCTTCAGCTCTGACTGGATTCTTCACTACCCATTCAGAGCTGAATAAGCTTCTTGGATGAGAAGCAAAACGTCTTCAAAGAAAAAACAGAAAGTCCAGTTGCCTCTTGAAAAAGCATCTTTGGAACTTTTCATGTAATCTTTCTCAAGCATAATCTAACCACTGACTTTATACTTTTTCTCATAGTAATGGGCTTCTAGCTCAGCTGAAGACTTTAATGTTATTTATTTTTAAGTAACTGAGAACAGGATTGCCACTTTGGGATAAAGCTAAACGAATAATGTTATTCCCTTTAAAGGTTGATTTCTCCCTAAACTAGATCCAGTGAACTAATTAGTTTAACTTTGCTAAATGATTCCTTTATTTTTCTGGAATCATGGCAAAGACTCTTCTGTATTTTGCATATGTAAGATCCTTGTAATATTCAGTTTGGTGGATAAGAAAGATGGATGTACAGTATGGATGCATAAATGTGAATTTCTGTATATGTAGGCATTATATATTTGTGTACATTTCAGGATATAAGAAGTTACCACTCTGTGAGAAGTAAGCAATCAGAGAGGACTCAACAGTCCAATGGGATCAGAGATGCCTCCACACCCAAAACTGTTCAAAGTGAAACCTACATAGAGGAGCCCATATCTGATCTTTTCCGCACATTTTCTCTCCAGAGTGACTTAGAAGGTACTTCTCATCACCCTATTGAAACAACTCCCCTTGAGGACAATGAAGATGATCAAGAATGGGAAGGAAAGTGGAATTATTCCAGAGAAATGTAAATTATGAGATCGATTCAAATTAACTAAATAAACAAAGCAAAAATACAATGCAATTAATCTGGACTACGTCTTCTTCCTCCCAGTCCCCTGGGAGTAATATCCTAGGTTAAATGGTTACCCCTTTTTTATTGACATTATTGAAAAATGATGCAACATTTATATAACCAATAATTCATTGAGAGAAAAAATATATATTTTCTTTAAAAAGTACATTTTGAGTAGGCAATGAAATGTACTATAAAGCTATTAATATGCAAAGCATTTATTAATTAATTTATTCTTTTTACTGTGTAGGTTTTCTAGCTTCCCAAAAGAAATTTCTTACTTAACTGCAAATGGTTTGCTGTTTTAATACTTCAAATAATAAATTTTGGATGTATAAATGTTGCCATATTTTAGACTCCAAGTTTAGATACCTGATGTCTGATAAGCAAATGTTTATTCTCCAAAGCAGTACATTTAGGTTAGTTTAAAGGAATATTAAGTTTTACTTCAGATTCAGATAAGAAACATCATTCAAGTTGTCGTATATTTGTAGGTCACCGTGTTAAAACGTTAACATTCTTGACCATTTTAACAGTTTTATTGTTTATGTACATTCATGCTTTTACATATTGCATTTTTATACTGAACTACTGAAGCTTGCTTCAAATCCAGTAGGCAAAAGTTACCTGTAAATGTTTTTTAAAGTACCATTTCGCTTTTTCTCCCAACACAATTTTCACTATGGATATAATCTAGTGTACTTCATTAATGATGTGGTTGCTGCTGCAGTCAAGGACGGGAAGTGTCCAGCTCTGACTGACTGTTTTGGCTGCTGCAGACAGATCCCCTTCCCTTCTTCAGTGCTAGAAGCTGCACACTGTGTCATTTTGACTTGAGATGCAAAAGAGATTAGATATATATCTCCCAGTGCAATACCTATTTCACTTTCCAAAACTGTTGTCAAATTTTATGTGACCACCTTATGAGCACAAGTTTAGCATTCTTTAGAAGCTGACTAGTATTGTGTTATATAGAAGGTTGATTTAACCATGAAAGAGAACTGTGTTCTTCCATGTGTGTATTGCTCTTAAGAATATAAACACTACCCTGCTGGATTGGACCATTGATCCACTTACTGTTTTTACATTGGCCAATCAACTGTACAAGGAAGCCAACGGAGTCACTGAGTACATTATAGATTTTCTGCTGCTTCAGCAAACAAGGGGCTTCACACAGCTATAATTTTACTGTTTTTTATTACTTTGGTGAAAGAGGGCGGTGTAACTTGGCTACTCCAGTCCAACTCTACAGTTATACACAAAACATCCTTCCAGGTGCTGTCAGCTACAAAAACAAAAATGGGTTTACTGTTGGCACTTCCATTGCAGCTCTGGACAAGGCTGAAGTTCACATGTTATCAATCATTCCCTCCTGCTTCACTCCAGGTTTCTGTTGGACATGGTTTAGTGCTGTTCCAAAATAATGCTATATTCAGAAATAATGGAATCAACACAAGCACAAGCGCGAATAACAAATCAGATGGTAAGACAACTGGACTGATCATTGAATACATTCCATGCACCAACATACAATCACCCAATACCTACATATTTTAAGGCAATCAATTATTGTTTTCTACTAGTAGGTGACACTTGAAGGGAGAGAAAGCAAAGCCAGGACAAGCCGCCAATCAATTTCCTTTGGTTTCACATTAAAATGGTCAACATCAATCACTGGCATTGTGACAGTGTTAGGACAAGGTGTGGCAACTGATACCAAATTTAATCCCAACATACTCTTCTGTTGGCTTATGGTTTGGGAAATAGCACTGCAATAAGAATCTTGAGATTTGTGAAAACCGATTATATAAAATATGACTTTTTATTTATGTGTGATTCTAGATAATTGCTTATTTGATCATCCAAGTAAGCTATGGTTTAGGGTAGTATATGAACTAGGTTCTGCTGGATATAAAGGTGACGATTCTTTTATTGCACATATCACATCCCATTTTCTGCACATCAATTAAAATGAAAAATATATGAAACAATATGAAAACTACCAGTATTTAAGAACAATTCCTGTAGGTCATTGTTTACCATTTAGTATTATACTTTTGGAGAACCATACAAGGATTATTGGGCTTCTAGTAATTCCTTGTTGAGAGTTTATTGAACATCACAGCTGTATTTCAAAGCTTTGTGAAAGTACATTGAACAAAATAAAGTAAATGATTTATCTGTCTCATGCACAAAATCCCTTTGTTTTATTATGTTGTGACTGTTGTATGCATTACTTGACAATTTTGTCTGTAGGGCTATTCCAGGAGTATATTCCTTCTTTCAGTTTAATATGAGAAACACTACCAAGATTTTTAAACACATTTCTTAAAAAGATTATTTAATGGACCATTGTCCCTTATTTACTTTTTAATGGTAGATTTTTTTTCTGTCCATGAAACATAAAGGAAGTTCACAAACACAGCTCTCAATTTTATAAGAACCCCTTTTTATTAGTGTTCAATCATTGAAAATTTCTAAGACTTTTCACAGTTAGAAACAGAGTTGGTCCCTTTCCAAATAAAGTTACTTAATTTTAGTAACATTGCTATGGAAGAAAAGTGTGGATTATTTTATACAATTAAAGTTATATAAATCAATGCTTCTCTAAGGCATTTTTTCAGTGTTATTTGGGAGTAAAAACAACTATTAAATGGTATGGATTCAACATTCATTTCTTCATTCATAAAAAATAACATTTGATTCAGATAATGGGCATAGATTATTTTTATCAATTCGTCCTTGTTAGAAACTTCCCTCCACATACACATAATGTATGATATTATGGATACCTCACAATGTGCCACAGCAAATAACAATTTCAAAAGGGACAGGAATTCGAAAACTACAATATTAATATATTTCTGGAGCACCTAAAGTTGAATGAAGCTCGATACATAGATACTTGAGAAGTTCTTATTTTCCAGGATAGATGGGGTGACTGAAACTTTCCATAAGCTTATGTGGATGTGTACAGGTAGTTCCTGACTTATTTGAGCCTAAAATTTCTATTGCTAAGTGAGACAGTTAAGTGAGTTTTGCCCTATTTTATGACCTTTATTGCCACAGTTGTTAAGTGAATCACTGCAGTTAAGTTAGTAACTCAACTGTTAAGTAACTCTGGCTTACCTATTGATTGAGCTTGTCAGAAAGTCATAAAAGGTGATTTCTTGACCCCAGGATACTGCAACCATCATAAATAAGAGTCAGTTGCCAAACATCTGAATATTAATTACGTGACAATGGGGATGCTACAATGGTCATAAGGGTGCAAACTGGTCATAAATTGCTTTTTTCACTACCATTGTAACTTTGAACAGTCAGTAAGTGGACTCTTGTAAATCAAGGCCTAGCTATATTTTCATAGCATAATCATTGCTTCTTATGCCTATGTCAGGTAAGATAAAGTTTTTCTGTTCCAGTTTCTGTTTTATAAATAATTCTCAAGGTAATGTTGATTATCATTATGAACATTACCATTGTTCATGATCATGATATGTTCATGATAAATCTTACTATCAGTAAGGTTTACAGATAGTCCTTGACTCACAACCATTCATTTAGTGACTGTTCAAAATTACAATAGTACTAAAAAAATGACTTATGATCGGTTTTCACACGACTGTTTCAACATCCCCATGGTCAATGAGCACGACTACTGACATCTATTTATGACAGTTGCAATGTCCAAGTGTCATGTGATCACCATCTGTAATCTTTCCAGCTGGCTTCCCACAAGTACGTCAATGGAGGAAACCAGATTCACCTAATAAACCATGATTCATTTAATAACTGCAATGATTCATTTAACAATTATGGCAAAAAGTTCATAAAATGGAGTACAACTCACTTAACAACTGTCTTGCTTAGCAACAGATATTTTGGGTTTCATTACAGTCATAAGTCGAGAACTAACTATATTTAGGGAATTCTGTCTGAACTGAATTTTGCTGCCTAGAAATCCTACATAGCACTTCATCTCTCTAAGATCAATAAGTGACATGTAAGAAAAATAAATAAAACTTGGCCATTCACTTTTCTTCTTAGGTATTAGTTTCTGTATGATTTACTTAGAAAAGGTACTATGCGAGAAACAAATACTCATATTTATGGAATGGAAGCTAGCTCAGGTAATCCAAATGTATATATCTGTTGGCAATATGAAGACCTACAACAATGATCCGAAAACAAAAATATAAAAATGTGTGTTTTTAAAAAATAATCAGAGTTCCATTTTTTTCTTCAGAATGAGTTGCCTCACAAGTTCGATCACGTAAGATTTTATTTCCTCCACCGTGACTGTAGAGTCCCAAGCATTTACCACTTTCCCATCTGGATCTATCAGATATTTCCAGAAGTTCCAAGTTGGCTCTTTTCCAGTGGATTCTACATAAAAAAAGTATAAATATCAGAGATATGAATCATCTATAATGCTCTAATTTGCATATTTGCAATCTTAAAAGACATATAAGATTAAATAAGAAATGTGATTATCCAAAGGAAAACCAATATATTAAATAATATAGAAATAAATATTAACCCAGTTCTTAGAAGAGTTCGTTTTGGTTTGGAAGAAAAAAGTACTTAATGCTCAAATGCTTCAAAAAATGGAACATTTCAGCAAAAAGAACCTTACAACTGCATTAATCTCTCATTTATGTATTTTTTAAAATTAAAATCATTCCCCCCCCCCAAATTGGTAACCTTGAAATGTATTGGATTACAATTTCCATCACTAGCAAACGTGACCAATAGGCATGTTTTTTGCTGCCTTATCCCTTTCATCCCTTATCCCTTTTCCTTTTCTCTATTTCTCTGCCCTGCACCTCATTTTTTAATTTTCTTTTTCCCCTTCTCACACTCTCTCTCTCATATTAAAGCAATAACAAATGCTTTTAAAAATATTTGTGCCTGCTATATTTTTTTCAAGACACATTATGTTGAGTTACATGCGATTCAGGAATATGGTGCTCTAAGGTAAAGTATAAGGCGGTGGATCTCAACCTTCCTAATGCCGCAAGTCTTTAATACAGTTCCTCATGTTGTGGTGACCCCCAACCATAAAATTATTTTATGTTTTCCATATTTTTTGGAAAATATGTGTTTTCCAATGGTCTTAGGCGACCTCTGTAAAAGGGTTGTTCAACCCCCCAAAGGGGTCCCGACCCACAGGTTGAGAACCACTGGTATAAGGCAACTAAATTTTGCTGAAACCCTATTGATTCTATTGATTTCTTGGGAAGTAGGAGAAAAAATAAAAATAGTAACCAAAACACCAATTTATTTTACTATATAAACTTAAAAGAAGCAAAGAAATTATTGTTGAATACATGATAATCTTCCGCGAATCTCTCAAAAGTAAGCTATCCCTGGTAGCGATCATAAGCCATCTACAGTTTATAGGGTATAACAATAAAGTTAGTATTTGCAGCTCATTCAATCTATTTTAATACTCACCAATTAAAAATTTAAATGCTGGATTTGCCCCGATGCCCTTCACTGCTATCTTGCTGAACATAGGAAATGTAACGCTGTATGTTTGCCGGACAAACCTCTCAATTTCATTATTACTGTTGGGTTCTTGCTGTCCAAACTGATTGCAGGGAAATGCTAGCACATTAAAATGGTAGGAACCAATCTCTCTCTGCAACTGTTGTAAGGCTTTGTAATGACTGTCTGTATACCCACACTCACTTGCAACATTGACAACTAATGATACCTGGAAGAAATAACAAAAATACAAGTTATAACACATCCTGCATTCTACTTTCAGAAGGTATAGCATGCTTTACTTCCTATATAGCACATTTTCAGAAATGGAGCATTTTGACAAGAAGAATATTTTGCTTTTAGATTTCAGTTATTGCTTTCATAATTACTATAATACATACATGGATGGTCAGTTGGTGCAGTGGTCAAGGCATCAGCTGGAAACCAGAGACCATGACTTTTAGTGGCACCTTAGACACAAAGCCATCTGGGGCTTAACCTTGGGCCAGTTACTTTCTCTCAGCCCTAAGGAGGAGGCAACTGCAAACCACTTCTGAAAAATCTTGCCAAGAAAACTGCTGGAATTTGTCCAGGCAGTCTCAGATACAACTGAACAGGAGAAAAAATAATAATACATAATACACTGATGAAGTAAATAAATAAATCCTTTTAAGATCCATCTCAGTTTGAAATTAGGTGTGTTTGCAGCTATTGTTTCTCCTTTCTTCAGTAATAGAACATATTAGCCATTGCTCTGTGGACAAATGTCATATAATAAATGCAGTTGTCTAATAAATCTATTACTGTACAATCCAGTTTTATTCTTGAAGTTAAGCTGTGGATACCAGTATGGAAATCAGAGGAATTGGTGGAGGAGAGATAAAAAAATTACTGCCTTGCCTCCTTGAAGGTACATGTGATAGAAATAGATACACATGTGCATAAGAGGGGCAGGATTTTACATGTTTGTGATTGCCATCTTAATATTTTTGTCCTTTCATAGATGACCATGATTTGTATGTATTGTGATCATATTTTGATGAGTTGGTCATAAATCTTTAAATAATTAGATATTTTGAATAGGGCAACAATTAAAAATGGTTGCTAATTGTTCAAAATTCCGTAATAAGTAGGTAATGAAGAATCATATCTTAGTAGATAATAACAGAATAACAGTTAGAAGGAACTTTGGAAGACTTCTAGTCCAACCTTCCTTGCTCAAGCAGGAAACCCTATGATTTCAAACAAGTGGTTGCCAAACTGTTCTTAAAAAATCTCCAGTGTTACAGCACCCACAATCTAGTGTGGAAGCAACTCATACCATTAATTAATTGTTCTAACTGCCAGGAAATTTCTCCTTATCCTAGGTTGGTTCTCTCCTTGATTAGTTTCCATCTATTGCTTCTTGTCCTGCCTATTCTTTTGAGAATAGATTGGTCCCCGTCTTCCTTGTGTAAGCCCCTCAAATATTGGAACATTGAAAATGATAGAAAGACTGACTCCAGAAAATTTCTTTTGCACCAAAGGAGGTACTACAAGTACTATCAACTATAACTGCCATATGTACTATTTTTTCTCTGCTTTTAAATGTCAATTGTATTAACAACTGCACTTAAATTCAAATTATGTAATCAAATTTGCAGGTAGGTAAATATTTAACTTTATGTAATGTAAAGGTGGTGTCAATTTCTATTCACTTTAAGGTTCATTGAAACATATAATTTAATCAGAGGATGACTACATTTTACATACAACTGCATCATGCAATTAATTACCTGCGATGAATTACATATGCCCGTGATGGCAAACCTATGGCAAGTGTGCAGGAAGTGGCATGCAGAGCCATCTCTCCGGGCACGCCAGCAATCGCCCGTTGCTCTTCTGGGTTCCAGTGCACACATGCACGCCGGCCAGCTGGTCTCTGAGCGTGTGGGAATGCTGGAAACTGGAAGAGCAGCCCCCTGCCGCATATGCGCGTGCCGGGAAGCTGAGCTTCCGGTTTCCAGTGTGCCAGTCCTAGGGCAGATAGACTGTGCTAACCCATGCTTGGACTCTCCCACAGCGCCCAGAGAACAACCGTTCAGGTAAGCCAGAAATCAGACATTTCGCTAAAAAAAAAAAAACTGAATGTGAATCACGTTTGCCATCTAGTGGACCTGCATTTTACTTCCAGCTTCATAGAAGTGTGCATTAAATGTGTGCATCAAAACAAGTTGAAAATGAAACAAAATACTATAAGACTAGCTTTTGGAGAGATGGGGAACATGTAAGATAAATAGATAGAGAACATTTAATTAATATATAGACATAGCAACGAATTCACTATATTTAGTGTGTGGTCAGAATTTATTTATTTTCCACCTTTATTAATTTATTTTCCACCTTTATTAATTTATTTTCCACCTTTATTAATTTTACAAATAACTCAAAGTGACAAAGATATCCAACACACATCTTCCTCCTCCTATTTTCCCCACAATCACCCTGTGAGTCGGGCTGAGAGAGACTGACTAGTCCAAGGTCACTAACCTGGCTTTCATGGCCAAGGCACGATTTGAATTCTCAGTTTCTTGCTTTCTAGCTTGATGTCTAAGGTGACCAGATTTTCAGATTGGTAAAGAGGGACACCATTGACCGGGGGGAGGGGGGCTTGATTAAAATTTTTATATTTTGTCAAAAGGTCACAAAAGGCCATTACATGACCCCAGGACACTGAAACCATCATAAATACGAATCGGTTGCCAAACATCAAAATTTTGATCACGTGACCATGAGGATGCTGCAACAGTTGCTAAGTGTGAAAAATGGTCGCTAAGTGTGAAAAATGGTCGCTAAGTGTGAAAAATGGTCACTTTTTTCAATGCCATTGTAACTTTGGTCACTAAATGAACTGTTTGAAAGCTAAAGCTAGCTTGCATTATAATGCCTT